TCACCACAACAAACAAAAAAACCATAAATACAATTCATTGTATACTATTTTTTTGCTAGTAAAATTGTGTATTGGACTCTCACAGGTAGATACTGGCATCCTAACTATATTTATCGATTTTCAATCGACATTTCGGTTAAAAGAGTGATACAGGCAGTATAAAACAATCTAGATTTCTGTTTCGAACTGTGAACACGTTCATTCACCGAGTGGTTTTTAAGTTATTTTATTTGTGTCCTAATGTCTAGTATAATCTATACTAATATATAAATCTACAGTGGTTTTACGGATGTTCCGTTATAACTACTGAAACATGCATCCGATTGACTTGAAACTTGGTATCCATGCAGAAAATACTTGTACTTAATGGATAGGCTAATATTTATATGAGCGTTGGACTCCCTAATAATAATGACAACAATAATGTTAATTTTAAATGCCCAGCGAAGCGGGCGAGTACGGCCTGTTTATAATATCACCAGACACGTCATTAAATCTTAAAGTAGTTATCGCCAACAACACAGTATTCAGGTGGTTTGTGACAATGTTTCGTGGAGGAAGTCAAGACAGAGCCGTCCGCGTCTAGTTTCACACGGGCTTTGCAGCCAATGTCCTTTTTTGAACAGTAATAATTGTTTGAGTTATTACGCTGAGAGTACGTAAAACCGTTCATCATCAGTAATGGCTTCCCTCTGCCGGATGGTATGAGTTGGTATTCTGAAATCACAATTAAGCATCGTGTGTCTGCTGTTTGGATAGTTTAAAGAAATATAAAACCAGTTCACAAGTTACATAAAGACGAGAATTGTGGAACATCATCCCATACATACATATGTAGGAACACACATATGTATCTATAGCCCTCTATGTGCGCTCTTCCAGGGTCGCTTACATCTTTCCAGTGGCACGCTAATAATTTAACACATCTTTCCAACAAGAATAAAAGATCTCAGTACTTAAAAAAACCGAATACGAATTTGAACTATTTGCCAGGAACTACTTAGCTGATTCGACATTCAAAACATAAATTTTAGTGTAGTTCTACTTACGTTGAAAATAAACTCAATCTTTAAGTACATAGGTTATGAAATAGTGTAAAAAATAGTTTATCAAAAGTTGTTTATTTTCAAAACAGTTTTTATTCAGACGTTACATTCAATATCAATTCAATTTCGCTGTACACCTTGGGATGGAAGGCAAAATCTCAATATAATAGACCTGCGCTTTTGAAATCGTCACTGAAAAATCAATTTAAGCAGTCCAGTTCAAACAATCCTTTAATGGAAGATATTTTAGAAGTAAAGGTTATAACGATTACGAATGTTTTATATTATTTATTGCATAGGCGGACGATGTTAAGGCCGATCTGTGTGCTTAGTGCGAGTTTTTTAACGTTCTCGATAGCGTAAAAGTTAACTCAGTATGGAGTCGGAACGTTTGCCTAGGTTTGCCGCTAGGGGCGCTGTTCCAATCGCATACAAATTTGAGTTAACTTTTACGCTATCGAAAACGTTAATAAACTCTCACTAAGCACCGGTATTCAGTTGCTACTTTAGCCCAAAAGACATCGTAACGTGAATAGCGCCACTCACCTTGAGACTTTAGGTCTATGTCTCAATTCTATAGTAATAGCGCCACTTACAAATTTTGTGAGTTCGATTTTTATAACACGATTGCTCTCCCATCACAGTGGAGGTAATTGAAGTTTGCTTTCTTATTTTTCTTTATTTTCATTATTTTCATCTCAATTGCTTATTTTAATGTATTTTCCAGCGATTGTGGTATATTGAGGTGGCTTATGATTGTGGACAGTTGACGATCGCATTATACGCCCGTCCAGATCTAACCTCACCCGCGCTTTGCAGCCGGCAGCCTTCTTTGAACAATAATAAAAGCCCACCGCACCCATCTCCGAAAATGTATAACCATCTATCATTAGCAGCTGTTTGCCTTTTGCTGTTGGAATTTTGATGTACGGAGGTCCTGAAATATAAGATTTTGTTAATTTTTGAATCAATCAATTTACCGCCAATTCTATGTTTATTGCTGAAATGCAGAAATAGGACGGTGGTACTTACCCGTGAGGAATTTGACAGTTTGCATGGTTCATATATGAATACACGGGGCATATTTTTTACTTCCCGGGTCAGCAAAGTTCACGCCCCACCTGGTGTTGAGTGGATACCGGAGATATCACAACTAATATGCCGCTACCCACCTTGAAATTTGAGGTCAAAGTATAGTATTTCAGCTGTCCCACTCTTTAAACTACAACACATGATATGTTACACGGCAGAAGCAATCTGGATGGTACTACCTACCAGGGTGGGCTTAGACTACGACTGAATGTACCACAAGTAAATGCCAGTTTTCTATTGTAATACACTAATCTATACTTGGAGACTGCTACTGTCCGTTCTCACAATATCCACAGGAAAAGATGAGTTAATGCTGTTCTAGACCATCACTGCACATCCATAAGTAAAATAAAACAGTAATAATTTTAATTACTTAATTTACTTTATTTCTGGATAAATATACATACAGCATCCCATACAGTATCCGAGAGTTATGTTTAGAATAACCTTAGATCACCAGCAATCCATCCATACAGAAATATATATATTTAAACAGCTAAGGATAAAACAGTACCATTTTCTTATATTATGTTAACTCATTATTGTTTTTTTAGTATTTGAATTTCCAATCTTGGACCAACACTAACAAAAGTAATATACACTCGTAATTGTAACTCATCTTATAGTTATTAAATAACTTCCTTCTTGATATACATTTAGGTCTCACTAATGTTGTGAAATAAGAAAGACGCATACAACAAATTTTAAATCTTATTTGTGAGCACATAAAAACCTATATCACAATGACACTAGTGTTGTGTAAGTTTGAAAAACCATTAAAAAAAAACAAAGGTCCCTTTTATGGCATAATATATCTAAACAGTGTTTACATATTATCTATACATATTAACCCTTTTAGTGCTGAGCTTTTTCTCACATATTTAGCATAAATTGCTAAAGGGCTTTTATAAAACTGTATCTTATTATTATAACTTTAACTTAAAAAATACGAAAATCAATGCTAAATTCACAGCAAAATAATTTTAAATGGTTGTTTATAAATGTTATTAACTTATACATTGAACTTTATATAAGCTCATGCTAAGATATGTCTGTACAGGTCAATACCTAATACCTATAAATAAACTGTACAAATAATTGGTATTCTGGCACTCGGCACTTTATACGCATGAATGGATAGGTCGATCTATCGACGATTCAGGCTGAAAGGGTCAAGGTTTCTCCAAGGTTGAGACAATGCGGGCATATGGTAAAACTTTGAATTGAGGAAAATGGAAATTACAGAAAACATAGTTACACATTGAAAAAATACATTGATTTTTAGGCAAGTCTTATTTATATTAAATTAAATGTACTCTTTGATTTAGGCCAAAGAAATATGCAAAAATAGTAAGTATTTATGAATTATTTTACATATTGTTCTCAGGTTGTTATGATTATTGACACTGCTTTAAGTATGTGGGTGTGAAAGAGATCATGTAGCACTGTCTAAGCTTCTTTTGAACCTTCTTCTTCTTCACTTATGTAGAATGGTTTTAGGAATGGTCCTAATGTGGCCAAAAATAAGCTGCCTCAGAAGAAATTTAGCAGTCACCTATCATTTACTTAGCAATATTAATATACTTGAATCAAGCTTCAACATTTGTATAATACATGGTCCAAACTTCATAAGATGACAAAATGAAGAAGACAAAAAATTATCTAGCTCAATTTGTCACAATCAGAATTGCGGGGTGATAATGTGTATTATAAGTTCGCAGGTGGCAAGTACAACAATGCTATTTATTTCTATTCATTCCAGGTCGAAGGATAGTACAACTGTTACAAACACAAATGAGACTTTATTAGAACCTAATAGTATACGAAAATAATTACTAAATACAAGTTTAAATAAAGAAGACAATGTCTACAAAAACAAGCTTAACCCATACACAAATTCTCTTCTCATAAACCAACAGTAGAGAGGAATAGGGTGTAAGGCAGGGGAAGCGCGTAAAGAAAAAAAAAATTAAAAGAAAGGCTGACAGATTTAGTACATATAGTATATTGATGAGAGAACTTATGGCCCTTGGTAGGTGGTAATAACATAAAAGCAATGGCTGATAAGCACACGAGTCTCTGCAGTCACTTATGCTTGTTTTAACTTACAATCACCTCAATTTAATATAATTTCCTTTAACGTAAGCATATCTTGGTGGCTCATGTGTGTGTTTACTGTAAGTGTCCACCAATTCTTTGTATAATATTTTGACTCTCGCCTTACATCCGGAATACTTCTTAGAACAATAGTAGATCACAGATTCCCCTGATTGTGAGTATGTATAGCCTTTGTACATCAATAGCTGTTTTCCTCTAGAAGATGGTATAAAATCATAATTGTTGCCTGTAATGTGACATATTAAATTCAAAGAAAACATAATTAGACTACAAAAAGTTAAATAAAGAATTCCCCACAGAACAATTAAAGTAGCAAAAACTCCTTAAAATATCTTCACTATCGCTTTTTTTTTTTATTAAAATTCCATAAACATTTACTACCTATATAAAATAGAAATAAAAAAACAATTTTGTTGGTATTTTTTTATTTGGACTAGTTGATGTACTGCAGTAATTCATGGATTGCTAAAAATAAAAAATAGTTTCTTTTCATCTCATAAAAACATTGGAATAAGACTACTGCTCTGTGACACATAGTTCCTTTTATGTTACAATTGAATTAATTTTTTTTCAAAATAATTGTTATTATTATGCATACTTTCATATTTAAACAACGTACATGTTTGAATAAGTTCTTGAAGTAATCACTTTTTTATGCTATTGACCAGATACAAAAGTAAGATACATTGGATGGTAAACAAAACACAAAACTTGTATTTGGAAAACTTAGGTCTACGTACTTACCCTCAGCTACGATGATAGACCAATAGGGTCAAGCTATTTCTGATTACTTTCACAACACTAGCACAATTCACTACACACCAACACTGAAAACGCTTTCTGAAAACACCAAAACAGAAATTTACACAAACACTTTTGAGGTTAACTTCATTTATATCACTTTTCTTCTACATTAAAAGTCCACATTTGATAATTTCTGATTTAACTATTAACGCGAACACTTTCTGTTTTTTTAGAATAAATTCATATCGCGGATATGGTCGCGAAAATCATTATTTTACAAAATCTAAATATTATTTGACATTTTTGACAACGTAAAATGTTTTAAATGTTTACAAGTACACAACTGTCTGATTTAAGTAGTAGGTATTTAGAGTTTCAGAGGTACCTCATAGGTGTATGTTATTTCTAAAGTCCATAAATCTAATCCAGGAATCATAATAATAGCACCAAAATATTTCCGCTATCACGGTCGCAATGAGGATCGCTCAAAATAATTATAATATAAAAAAATTATATTATTTTAAATATATTTATCTACACAGTTGCTGTATTTTTCACATTACGTATCTAAAAAAATCTCATTTTTTTACCTATAATAAATTCTTGGAACAACTAATGAAAATGAAAATTACTATTTCCAATTTAAGTGCACCTGTAGTTTAAATATGCCTCCAATTTAACGGTTGTAGAGAACTCTAGAAATCAGGCTTAAGTCATTGAATACTAATCTTCCACTTTTCAAGAACCATCTAGCAGATGATCAATCGCCAAGCTATCGAGAGCTTGTAATTAATAACGTGCCTTGATCCTTAAACACAATAGATCTATACAAAGTACGGATGCTGTTCTTAAACCATTAGCGCACGCTTTCCAACCCTCATGTTCTTTTTGTCTACTTACGCTTTTTGCTTGTATTTTGTCTTGGATTATTAACTGTTACAACTCATAGGGTTTTTTATTATGTTACCGATGTTCGGTTTTATTATGTTCGAACTTTTTAGTTGATCCTCGTGTGGAATACTTTTATTTTTGTTACATAGTTGCAATATTTCGCAACATGGTCTTTCAAATATGTTTCTAGCACTCTGCTCACAAATCAAAAGCATCCATTATTTATTATAGAGTTTTTATAAGTATTTAAGCTTTCCATCCAACGAACGATTGAGGAACATTATCGGTATATAAAAATCATTATGTTTTCATAAAATGTCTGGTTTAGTATCTTCAGATTCAGGAAGAATGTTGCATTTTCCCTTACTTTTGCTTACCCCTGGATAGATAACACTGGTATCAAAAAAATAAGAAAAAAATAAGCTCTAATTTGGCCAAATCACTTATAATGGTACCAGTTTAAATTGTTGAACACATCGGAGTCATTAAATGTTAGTCACTGATTTGTTCATGTTCATGAGCCACCCGTTACTGATTTCAAAGATTCAATCCAAATACTTTATTGTAACTGTGTTACAGCTTCCCAATTTACCTTTAATTACATTTAATTTACAATTCACCATCTGTGTAATGTTGAATAGGTAGGTGCTATGTTTTTTTTCCTTACCTAGCTGAGAGCCTTGAGAGTTGAGAGGCTATTTCAGCGTAACCTTAACTAGTAGGTGAGCTCACGGGGCTCAAACCTGACGACATTGCTAGCACGAACCCTAGCAAGAGCCGTGCTTCGCAGAATCTACCACCGGATCGGAAACGTGACTCGCTGAGAAGATCCGGCGAGAAACTCAGTGAGCAAGGTGCTATGGTAGAAGCATGGAGTTGATGGAGTTAATAATTACCTACGGTACTTACAACTTTTAAAATAATAACTGTATGGGTAGAAGTACTATGTACAAAACTGAATTTGCGTAGTAGTCTGTGGTTTTAAAGATTTTGACTCTATGACGGACTTTTTGGCGGGAACGCGAGGAGTGAAGTTGTGTGATTTGTTTTATTTTGTCTATTTAGTGTTTCTTCAGGTTTAAATGTGTAATAATGGTGGTTTATTAACTGTTTAATATCTGTGAAAGTGCACAAATGTGGGAAAATGAAACAAAGCTGCTTGACGTAACTTCTCGGGTTCCTCCAAAAAGTCCACTGAAAAAATCTCAGTAAATGACCACCATTTTACTGCGATTATATTTCATCCCATATCATTTCATTTCATTAAATTTCATCTCAGTTGATTAATGTCTCAAATTAATCATTTTCATTTCATTTCACTCCATATTATCATTTTTCATAAAATTAAGAATATAAAGTAAAATAAGACATGACTTAAAGGTCTTAGTTACCAGGTCATAAAATCTCTTAAAAAAAAAAAAAAATGACTCTATGACGTGACGTTTGTGACGTTTCACTCGACGCTTAAAATAACCTAAAATACAATTTGTTTATTTTGCAATTTACGCGTTTAACGGTTTTGTCTTATTCCTATTAAACCTTTATATTAGTTTGCTTCATTATATGCATCGTATAGAGGAATACAGTTAGTTGTGTAGTAGTGTTTTAAAATGGCGGTTGTTTGTTAACTTGCCCATAAAATAGCTAAGAATTTTATTTTCATGTGCATAAATTTCAAAACATAAATCCTTAATGTGCGCTGTGTTTGTGATAATGCTTTTATAAATTGACTAAAGCACTTAATTCCCGATTACTTAGATTGAGAGGTAAGAATTGTTTGTTAAATTATGGGTTCAAAACACAATGTTTCTGTGCAATAAAACCAATCCAAAACAACTAAAGGTTATTAGTATTCAAGTTATTTTATATAATGTAAGAACTGGTTGTAATATCCGTATATTTATTGTGTATATTTAATGTTACTAATTTTACTAGCAAGCAATAAATACATTCTTTACATATGTATATAACAAAAAACCCTACAACAAATTAGACTGTTGGATAAGAGTGTAAAACGAATAAAATCGTCTTAACCACAAAAAAGGGCAATATTTAAATGCTAGTAGTGCGATGACCTCTGAACGGTAGCCAGAAAGAGGTGGATGAGGAGGACGACTGTGGGCTAATAATGATGATGAAATTAATTAATATGGGAGTACCAATCAGACAAGCCCGTTGAGTTCGTTTTGCAAACTAACTTAGCTATATTGCTTGTATAATAATTGTATACAGAACATATTCAGACATACAGAACAAGTTCCTCATGTCGCTAAGTAAGTCACAGTATGTGGGTTTATATCTGCAGTTAGATGAGAAATTATTAAGAATTATGTGATTCCTTAATTTTGCGAATGTGTATTTATGTTTGTAATTTTTTGTAGGTAAGTCATATTTTGGCGAGATGCTGTCATTGGTAAGTCTTTAATTTTTATTTGAAATTGTTTGTTGATAATATTTATATCAATATTAAAGTGAGTTGCAAACTTACAGCCTGTATTTTAGGTTTTTTTAAAAATGAATTCTTTCTGTTTTACATGAAATTAAGTGAATGTCTGCAAAATGATTCATACTAGAAGATGGTCTAAAATTTTATGCTGATAATTTTTAAAAATCAAATAAATTATTCAACCATCAATCTATTGTTTTACTATATGACCTACCAAAGTTTTACCCGGCACGAAAAAGCAAAATATAAAAACTAACATAGATTTTACTATTTTCAAATTGAAAATAGACTTAAGTTTTCTTTTTTTATTGCTGTATAGGCAGACGAGCATACGGCCCACCTGATGGTGAGTGGTTACCGTCGCTCATGGACGTCAGCAATGCCAGGAGCAGAGCCAAGATGCTGCCTACCGTTAAAGTGAATGTGTCACTTGTTAAGCATGATCTGTTGTAAACAAACTTCTCAAATGTTTTTTTTAATTGCCTTCATGTTTTGACTTCACCAACTATTGTTATCAAACCTGACAGTAAAAAATCTCAGTTTACCATTTAGTCTGAATTTCTGTAACGGAACATAAGTGATTCAAAGTGGACTTTTATTAGTTGAAACAAATTTTTAAACACAGCTAAGCTGACTCGACAAATATGTCATAGGAAAATGGCAGCTTTTTATGAAATAAGAATGCTTCTTCAATAAGTGTAAGGGCTGCAAATTGTTTTCATTATTGAAAATTTGCAAAAAGTTCCAAATGTTTCACTGTATATACCTTTGGTTTTGCTAAGTTCCTACTATTTTCGTATTCTTCAAATGTACTCACAACTTCACAACAAGAAGGTATAAACTATAAAGGTTTCAATACAGATAGTTGTAAATTGTATCATGATTATAACCAAAAGTCCAAAAGGAAAATTTTATTTCCAATGAGGTAATGTATAATATATATTTGTGTAGAAACACATCAATATTTTAAATTTTAATGCATCATTTAAATGTTTCGATTGAAAATATTTACAGATGCAATGATCATACCATCAAGGTACAAGAGAGGCCAGGGTATGCTTCTATTCCGTGGCTATACTTATTCGTGGAGAAATCACAAAAAGAATGGCAATTATTGGACATGTTCCAGTCATCATAAGAAAGGTTGCAAAGCTCATGCCACCACAAATGAAACCGAAAAACCATTTGAAGTGACATCTTTTCACACTAATCACAATCACCCACCACCTAAATTAAAAATTTCCCCAGATATTGAATTTGTGGATTCGTGATGTTGTCCTTGTATAATTCGTTTGTATAGGAGTCTGCAGTAAGCAAATATTATTGCTATAGCTTGTGCTATTGGATTTGACAGAAAAACTACATAAGTAATTTTTATGGTTGGAAAAAACAAGGGGATTGGAATAATCCACCCTACCAATTATGCAGGCTAGGATTTTTCGAAGTTAAATCTTTTGAAATAAATTGCTTGTTACCTTATTTAAAAATGATGGCCTATTAAATGTATTCGTTATTTTTTTAATTAATAGACTGGAAATTATTATCCAGCAAAGATTTGACAAACGACAAGCATTGAATGTATTGAAATTTGTTGTATATTAACTCTAAATAAATTTTATGTAATGTTCAAGTTTTTTTTTTTCTCTCCGCTTAACCTCAAAACTTTGTGCAGTATGTTTATGAATATATATTATTATGTATAATTTTACTTAAAAATTACGTAAAATTACAGAAATACATTTCATTCCTTCGAAGAAAGGATGCAATTTATTAGTTTATGAAAAATATACATATGCAAAAAACTGTCAAAGTAAAAACAGAACGACTTGGACATGTTCATCTCGATGCTCAAAAAAGTGTAATGCGCAAGTACTGTTAGGTAATAATGGAGAATTCATTGTGATCAATGATGAGCACAGTCATTCACCTCCAGTCTTCTATGTGAACGACCTAGGCGAATATGTGAGGGTAATCGAGAGA